CTTTTGGGTTCAAGGAAAAAAAAAATTCCACAAGGTCTTAATGTAACGTCGAGTATCGTGTGAACGTTTGGGGAGGGGGATATAAAGACGGGTTTGTAGCGATTATGGGATCTGATTAAATCTCATGTTGTACGTAAAAGTTCATGTAATCAAGTGTATTAAAATGTAATGACTTGTTTAGACTTGAGATGAACTAACATGTTTAAGCTCCATCTAGAAACGACTTATACAACTTATCCTTGTTGCATTGTCCACGCTATTGTCACATTTTCGTGAAATATGTGGACTTGGGATGAACTAAGCATTTCATCACGTTACTTGCTCAATTTGCATGAATCGGTACACATCTTTTGTCCTTTTCATGAATCCTCAAATAATATATAGTTTTGTAAAGGGTAAAATTGAAAATTCACTAAAGGTCACTTATTTACATATTACATGTTGGTTACGTAACTTCGAGTGTTATAATTTCATTCTTTAATTTAACCATTCCATTTATGTTTTAGATTAATTTTCTAATTTAATGTCACTAAATAGTATTTTAATCATCTTCGCCAATTACAATTGTTATTGTAGATTTTTAACTATGCCTGCAAAAAATTATTGTAAATTTACGACGATAATCAACTCACCGCTCAATGATCTTCTATCTTTGGACAAAATTATTTGGGTCATGTAAGCCTAGAAATGGAACCAACTTCAAGCCTAGAAATGGAACCAACTTCCACATTTGGGGGATCGGAGCTTTGAAATATTAAGCCCAAACAAAAATACAATCCAAAATCAAAATAATAAACCCACTTATAAAATTGAAAATAGATAATATGGCTAGAGAAGTAGGAGCAATCCAAAGGAAGGATCATGCACGGAAGACCCCTTTAGCAAAATACAAATGCAAAAGATGGCATCAGAATAGCGTTCACTTTCCTGAAGAAATCCAATCCAAGCACCAAACCGAAACCATCCATCCATTCAACCGATAGATAAACTGGCCATGCTAAGTACTAACAAGAGGCTTAGGTGGTAGCATTCACAATTTTAAGCAAGCCACAATCTAGGTGAACATTCTTGAGTTTGCCCACTTCATTCGAACCTGCAATCTTTACTTCGATTGCATTGAATAGTTTTCACGAACCAATTTGAGCCTCTGAGTCTCAACTATTTGATGCTTCAACTTGGGAATCAACAATGGAGGCCAAGGACCTTAGTTTGGGGCAATCCTGCATAGCATGTGGCCCTTGGCAAATGAAGCAGCCACTTTCAGGCACATAGGCAGATTTCTTTTTATCCTCATACTTTTCTATCCTGCATACTATTTAATATCACCAGTTTTATAATCAAATTTGAAATCAAGCTTACCTCGCTTGTCTTTCTTTCCATCTCACTCGACGATGGAATTCTTACCTCGCCCAATTCTTAAAACCATCCATGAAGTAAACAATAACACATTGTTCGACATGCTGGAAATTTGAAGCGTAAGAGTTTTGAATTCTTTGACATAATCATGGATGGTGTTCTTATGATTCAATTCCTCTTGCTTCTTATAGGCCTTGTAGATAGCATTTTTGGGGTAAAATTGGCACTCCAATTCCTTTTTGTACTCCTGCCAAGTCTCGATCTTGCTGGAACACTCTTCTATGTCAGCATCTTTACGGCACCACCATAGAGAAATGCTATCAGAA